GACAAAAAGTAACAGGTGGGAGCCTGTTAAGGAGAGATCCAATCTAAAAGTAAGAAGAAATTTTATGATAATGGAAACAACTCATCAGTGGAATAGCTTGCCTCCTGGAACTGTGGTTGTTCCATCACTGGAAGTTTTCAAAAATAGACTGGACAGTCATTTTACTGGGATGGTATAAAACATCCTGGAATATGGCTATCGTGTCCCCCCCCCCCCAGTCCTTCTTTTCTCTAGACTAGCCATACCCAAATCCTGCAACCGTTCTTCTTAAGTTTTAGTCTCCGGGCCTTTAATCATCTTAGGTGTTCTTCTTTGCACTTTTCCCAAAGTCTCAACATCTTTTTTTGTAATGTGGGGGCCAACACTGGATGCAGTATTCCAGGTGTGCCCTTACTAAGGCTTTATAAAGCAGTATTAATACTTTGTGTGATCTTGATTCTATGCCTCTGTTTATGTAACCCAGGATTGTGTTGGCTTTTTTGGCTGCTGCCGCACACAGCTAGCTCATGTTTAAGGGATCGTCCACTAGGACTTCAAGGTCCACTCTGAAAAAGTTAAGAAGATTAAACAATTCTGCAGATTGAATTATAATGTGCTTCTTAATCTGAGGGTGTGTGTGTGTGGATTATTCTGAAGAGGTAAGCTTTCAAAATATACCATGCCACAAAGCAAAATTTAAAAGAAGTGAGAACATAGAAGTGAAATCACAAAAATTAAAACCCTGAAATGTTAGTTGACCAGATTTTTGTTTGTGGGCTTCAGTAAACTATCTATGCTGTGGCCTTATGAATAATCCTGATTCTTTGCCTCTGACACTTACCTTTTAAAAGGTGCTATTAGCTTTTATAAAAATAATGGAACTTAATAATTTTAGAGGTTTTTTTTTTAGGGGATTGATATCCATTTGTTTGTCAAGAGGAAAGGAGAGTCTGAGTTAGTTACCCCCTTGATGTTGTCAGGCATAAGGCCCTCCATTCGTGTCCAAAGGAGATGCTTTACACTTATTGTAACTTCCTGAACCAACCCTGAAAGATTGAATAATAAAGGAGTGGCCAAAATTTTGGAAACCTTTTGGGAAAAGTGTATTTTTGAGGTTTGATGGCTAATAATACCACTTTTTTGGAGTAGTACCATAAAGTTATATATCAATGGAAAGATAATTTAATCAAGAATGCAATGCAACAAAGTTTGTTCAATTATCTGTACTGTATTCTATGAAAAGTTATAGCCAAATAACCAGAAAAAGGAAGCACAACTTGCTTAGGTTGATCTCAGGTAGCTTTCCTTCATCTGATTGTAGCCAATGAGCATGAGTGTTTAGAGAGCGAATCGGGTGTCATCTTGTTTTGGCAATGAGCCAATTGGATCACAGTAGGATTCAGTTATCGATGTCATGTATTGAAGCTGGGAAGAGGACATTTGTCAGTGTGTTATGTGATGGCTATCAAGTTGGTTGGGTTTTTTTGTGTTCTTTCATTTAGTGAGCTTGTAAAACATAAAAAAATTAAATTAACAGTGCAAAGAGTTGACTGGTCACCCCAAAAGCGATGTAAAATAATATTATGAAGTGAACAAGGCTACAGTTATAAAGAAATTAGAAGAAAAATGGGTGGAAACTTAACCAAAGGTGGCATTTCTACTGTACACTTTTCCCAAAAGGTTTCCACAATTTTGGCCACTACTGTAAATATCCCTATGCAGACCTTCCTGTCCACTTGCCTGTCCACTGGCCCTATGAAGACCTGCCTGTCCCTGAAGTATCTCTGGTGCTTTTCATCCCTACTGTGCATTTTGGCACCTGGCCATGATAACTATCAATAAATTTTCTTTCTGGAGTTCTTCCATCTTTATCGGAGTTAAATTCTTATGTGCTTTGATGAATACAAGATCATTGGCAGTTCCCTCCCTCCCATCCAGGACATAGCACAGAATAGTTGCTTTAGCAGGGTCTGCAGGATTGTCTGGGATACCACACATCTTCTTCACAACCTGTTTTCCTTGTTACCTTCTGGGAGGAGGGGGCTTCGTGGTATCCAAAGCAGAACATCCAGATTCAGTCACAGTTTTGTTCCATACAGCGTCAACCTTGTGAACTCTCAAGCTTCCTCTTTCCGCTATGTATTCAAGATGGGCAGTGATTAATATTTATATGTATTTATATGTAAGGGTGTAGGTATGTACATATGTTGCCTATAGCATGTTTATATGTGTGTTATGTATGTGTACACTTTTGAGAGCAGGCAACAATTTCATTGTTAACGTATGCCAATGTGCCCACAGTAAAAAAAAAAATGACAATAAAGAAGTGGTGGGATTCAGCCAGTTCGCGCCACTTAGGCAGAACCGGTAGCTATAATTTTTTTGTTGGCTGGACTTCCAGAAGCGGCATCCACACAGAGAACTGGTTGTTCACATATTTGAATTTCACCACTGGATGGATAGATAGATAGATAGATGGATGGATGGATGGATGGATGGATGGATGGATGGATGGATGGAGAGAGAGAGAGAGAGAGAGAGAGAGAGAGAGAGAGAGAGAGACAGAGACAGAGACAGAGACAGAGACAGAGACAGAGACAGAGACAGACAGACAGACAGACAGAGAGACAGAGAGACAGAGAGACAGAGAGACAGAGAGACAGAGACAGAGATATGATGATAGATACAGTGGTGGGATTCAGCCGATTCACACCACTTCGGCAGAACCGGTAGCTAATTTTTTGTTGCCCGGGCCCAGAATGGACTTCCAGAAGCAGCATCCACGCAGAGAACCGGTTGTTCACATATTTGAATCCCACCACTGCAATAAAGGTTATCTTTTCTTATCATATAAGGAACTGTTGCTGGAATTGGGTTTGTCTCGTTTAATGAAGAGAAGGACAAGGGGTGACATGATAGCAGTCTTTCAGTATCTCAGGGGCTGCCCCAAAGAAGAGGGAGTCAAGCTATTTTCCAAGGCGCCTGAAGGCAGGACAAGAAGCAACGGGTGGAAACTAACCAAAGAGAGAAGCAACCTAGAACTAAGGTGACATTTCCTGACAGTTAGAACAATTAACCAGTGGAACAACCTGCCTCCAGAAGTGGTGAATGCTCCAACACTGGAAGTTTTTAAGAAGAGACTGGACAGCCATTTGTCTGAAATGGTATAGGGTTTCCTGCCTGAGCAGGGGGTTGGACTAGATGACCTCCAAGGTCCCTTCCAACTTTACTATTATTATTATTATCTTACCTAAGGGACACTTGGCGAGTCATGTCCATAGAATGAAGAAGGCACTTGGCTACTTCAGGTAGAGTCTGTTTTGGGGTCATCAACCATTTCTCAATTGTCTCACGTTCTCTTGGGAGCCTTTTCTAAACCAACAGTGTGAATGTTACATTCTTTTTTTAAGCATGCCAGCACTCCACTGATAACACTGCTCCATGTAATAGACAGGAAGTCCTTTGTCACAGAGACCTGTGCCTAATCCCTGTAGGTTGGAGGAAGTAGGAGGAGCAAATTAACGAGGACCTACCTATGAGGAAGATCTACCAAAGAGGATCTACCTACTTCCTATTGCAAAATAGACCAAAATCTAATTGGACCCAAATGCTTGTGTTATGCTTTCAGTGACAACAAATGAAGATCTAGAATATATATACCAGATTTTTTGAGAAAGAGGGAGGGACCAAAGGGGAGAGGGAGAGGGAGGGAGGAGATGGAGAGGGAAGGAAAGGGAAAGGGATGGGAGAGGGAGAGGGAGGGAGGAGAGGGAAGGAAAGGGAAAGGGAGGAAGACAGAGAGGGAGAGGGAGAGGGAGAAGGAGAAGGAGGAGAGGGGTAGATGAAGGAGAGAGAGACAGGGAGGGAGGGAGGGAGGGGAGAGAGAGAGAGAGAGAGAGAGAGAGATTGTGTGGTGCTGTTTTAACTCTCGTGCCCAGTTCTCTTTTTCTGTTGTTTGGCATTGGAGAACACAAGATGGGGGGGGGGGGATTGTTGAAACATTAAACGCTGGTTTTCAAGAATACTAATTCTAGGAAAAGTGATTGGGCCATTTACTATTTAATCCTGAGCAAGTGGAAAGTTTCCTTTAGGCAAGAGAAAGTTTACAACACTAATTACAGACCTATAAATAACATTTAAGAAAAAGAAGGCAACATGCATAATATGAAAAAATAAGGATTATTTTAGAAGTGTGGTTAACAATCCCCAAAGCAAAATCATGGTATTTGTACAGTAACAAACAGCTTTTAAAATGTGAACGCTCGGTAAGATGCAGCAAATCATTTAAATGTTGTGTTCAGTGTTTACATAAACCAAACAGTAGAAGTGAATATTCGTAGCTCGGGTTGAACGGTGGGGTCCTTGGTGCTCTCTGAGCTTGGTGGTTTTCTTGCAGATCGTTTCATTACCAAACTAGGTAACATCATCCGTCTTTGGTGTTCTCTGATGTATGTAATCCAGTTTGGCAATGAAACATCTGCAAGTAAACCACCAAGCTCAGAGACCACCAAGGACCTCACAAACCCAACAAAGGTCAACGCACAATCAAGGTATTTGACAAGGCATCTCCAGGAGTGTTTAAAACAGTAGGGTGGTGGCCATAATGAAGACACGACCCCTTCTATTATGTGCTACACGTGTGAAAAGTGAAGGGCTTCAATTGTGTAATCACAAGAACCATACTGACTATCTGGCCAATGCTCCACAGCAGTATTCATGGCTGCCTAGCATTATTCAAACCCATCCAATGAACATATAGAAAAAATGGTTTGCAGAATGAAAGACAATAATTCATTCACAGTCTTTAGAACGCATGAGTGACTACATAAATTAGCAGGACTGATTTTCTGAACTGATTCTTTAACTCAAGGCCACACACGGACACCCCCCCCCCTGTATTATATATATAAATAAAAATAAATAAATCCCTACCCCCAAAAAATTATTCATGGTCTTTTTAAAAAAAGCACATTTGGTTTTTTTGTAAAAAATAAAATAAAAGTAGAGTTGGATATATATGTTTAGAATAAACCACAGTCTTTCAAATTATTCTTTATGATGACGTCGGTGACCGCATCGAAGACAAACTGCACATTCTTGGTATCGGTGGCACAGGTGAAGTGCGTGTAGATTTCTTTTGTGTCTTTTCGCTTGTTTAGGTCTTCAAACTGACACTGGATGTACGCAGCTGCTTCTTCATATGTATTTGATCCTAAAGGTGGGGGAAAAAAACAACAAAGTTTAGACATTTTAAGCTTGGGAGAGAGGCAGGGTATGGGGTCTTTCAAGAAATTTGCAAGAATAACGGGGTTGGATGGGACCTTGGGGGTCTTCTAGTCCAACCCCCTGCTCAGGAAGGAGATCCTATACCAGGGGTAGGCAACCTTGGCTCTTTTATGAATCGTGGACTTCAACTCCCAGAATTCCTGAGCCAGCATGGCTCAGCTTGGAAACCTCTCCCTTTCCCCTCAGCATGGCTGGCTCAGGAATTCTGGGAGTTGAAGTCCACGAGTCATAAAAGAGCCAAGGTTGCCTACCCCTGCCCTATACCATTCCAGACAAGTGGCTATCCAATCTCTTCTTAAAAACCTCCAGTGATGGAGCACCCAGAACTTCTGGACATTAGCCGTTCCACTGATTAATTGTTCTCACTGTCAGGAATTTTTTTTTCCTTAGTTTTAGATTGGATCTCTCCTTGATAAGCTTCCATCCCTTATTGTAATTAGAAAATTACAAATAACATGTCATCCCAATCCTTGTCTTCATTGGACTAGACATACCTACTTCATCATATGGCTTAGCCTCCAGGGCCCTTATCATTTTTGTTTTGCTCTTCTCTGCTCTTTTTTTAGGGTCTCAACATCACTGCTCAAGTAGGAGACCCTATACCATTCCAGACAAATGGCTGTCCAGTCTCTTCTTAAAAGCCTCCAGTGATGGAGCACCCACAACCTCTGGAGGCAAGCCGTTCCACTGATTAATTGTTCTCACTGTCAGGAAATTTCTCCATAGTTCTGAAAATGGCTGAAGTTGAAGGGCAACATTTTAAGAAACTTTAGGTCTCGGAAAAGCATTGGGGGAGGTTGGGTAAATCGTCCTTTCAAGCTTGACAATCAATACTTCCCCATGGTACAAAGCTCTTTGCTGGAATGTATTGTAGCTACCTTGCATATCTGTAGCGCAGGGATGGAGATATCAGTGCTTCTAAATCAGGATTGACTCCCGATTACTGCCCAAATAGATCCCTGCAGCTTTCTAAGCAAGGTTTTGGAAGTGGTTTGCCATTGCCTTCTTTCTAGGGCTGAGCGAGATTGACTGGCCTAAGATCACCCAGCTGATTTTGTGCCTAAATCAGGACTAGTAGTCATGGTATCCTGGTTTATACTCGGGTCCCTTCACCACTACTCCAAATTACTAATGATTTCGTTAGACTTTACTCTTATGATGATTATGTGATCCATTGTGTCCGACTCTTGACGACTCTACGGGCCAAATCTTTCCACACGTGAAAAGACTTTTGAGACTTTCCTGTAATTAGCAAATGTAATAATCTGTCATTTACATTAGCTTGTTCACAGCATGGAGGAAAAAAAATATTTTCCTTCATGAAATCTTTAAAATTCTTTATAAAATCTTCTTTTTTATGTAAGAATCATTTTAGTTAAATACTTAAAAAAAAAAAGACTTTGGGGGCCATTTTAGCCACAGCTCGCCTTGTAGGAAACAAAATGGCTTCCACAACGAAACAAATAGCTCCCTCATTCTCCATTCTCAGACTGTAAGATGCCAAGATCACAAACAATACACAAAGAACATTTGTTAGAATAGGTCTTGCATAATTTATGCATCAGTGACAATGTTTAGCCACCACTAAAAGATGCAATTTCCCTAATTTAAAACAATGAAAGCCCGTTCCTTAAATAATTTCTGAATATACTCCATAGCCTATAAATAGAGAAGAACATTTTTCTACATCTTAGTCTTAAATGGCTGCATGATGGGAGGAGATCCTATTCTGATCCTCAATATGTTAAATAAAATATTTTGCTGCTGCTTTAGTTCCCTCTGGTTGACATTATTGGGTTGGATTAAATTCCCCAACAATGGCATCTTTGTATTATATTTATGCCAGCAATGTGTTTTGACCCCCAAAAAATTAGCCTTTCCACTTTCTCATGAGCCATAAATGATCTTTCAAAGATGTAGTAACACTCATCCTGAGGAAAATATATGTGGTCACTAGTCTTGAAGCCAATTTGATGGCCCATAATCATCAGAAGTTCCCTTAAAAATCCTAAAAAAGTTGAAAATCAGAGTTTGGGAGGAGGAGGAGGAGGAGGAGGAGGAGGAGGAGGAGGAGGAGGAGGAGGAAAGAGAAAGTTTGCAGTTGAAATTTAATTATTAAATTTTTAATAGCAGGCTTGAGGCCTACAAGGACCTTTGGTTGCCAGCCGTTGCTTCGAGTTGCCAATATTTTATTTGGTCTATTTACTATATTCTCTAAATTACAATTTACTTCTGTATATGCAACTATTCGGTGCAGTAACTGTTAGTCTGCTACAGCACAGTACACAATTACAATGACAAGTTAAACACTTGGTAGAATGTTCACATCACACCACACCAGAGAGATTCTGAAGTCTGTGCCACTATTTTCACTTTGCTCCATAATAATGCTAATTCGGTTATTAAAATATCACATTATTTTATGTGAAAGGTAAAATCTGGCGTATACAGCAAACAGTTCCATAAATAACATTCACATCCTATCAGATTCTTATTATTTAGGAGAACAAACATTTTTGTCAATATTTACTATACTCAGAAAGTTCCAAGACAATAATTCTCTTTTTTTATTCTCCTTCCCTCAACATGTTTTCTCTGCATAAAACATGAGAGAGAGATATACCTGGATATTCTGGATAACAAATAGTAAGAGGACTCCTTTTAATTTTTTCTTCAAAGAGATCCTTTTTATTTAAGAACAGGATAATAGAGGTGTCTGTAAACCACTTATTGTTGCAGATGCTATCAAACAGTTTCATGCTTTCATGCATCCTATTCTGCAGTTGGGAAAAAAAAAACAGAGAGAATATATCAGTTTAATAATATCAAGATCAATTCACAAATACTCGCAGTGAAATAGATCAAGGAAATAAAACTCAATGTACCTAAACAACGATAAATTCTGAGACATTTCTTATTTCAGACAATTATTTTGAATTATTCAAATCAATCATTCAAATGTATGCAAGACCATCTTAAAATAGTTTAGCTATCGCTTCGTTTGGCTACCTTTTATCCAAATAAAGTATTTTTTATAATATTTGACAATATGTTTATCCTGATTATTTCTAATAAGTATTTTTTAACACCAAGAACGCTGTTTGGAAACAAATAAGCAAATCCTTAAAAACAGAACACTACTTCATCTCTAGACAAGCTAGATAAGAAAATTATTGTAACCATTCCCTCACTGCTAAATTGGTAAAATGTGATTAAATTACAGGTAGTCCTTGACTTACAACCACAATTGGGCCCAAAAATTTCTGTCACTAAGCAAGACAGTTGTTAAGTGAGTTTTGCTCCATTTTACAACCTTTCTTACCTCAGTTGTTAAGTGAATCCCTTAAGTTGTTACTAACTTATTTGTGAAGTAAATCTGGCTTCCCCGTTGACTTTGCTCGTCAAAGGTTTGTAAAAGAAGATCACTTTTTTCTTTCTTTCTTTCTTTCTTTCTTTCTTTCTTTCTTTCTTTCTTTCTTTCTTTCTTTCTTTCTTTCCTTCCTTCCTTCCTTCCTTCCTTCCTTCCTCTTTCTTTCTTTTTTCTCTTTCTTTCTTCCTTCCTCCATTCCTCCCACTTTGCACGCTCTCTCTCTCTTTCTTTGCTTTCTTCCTTCCTCTCTCTCTTTTCTTTCTTTCCTTCCTTCCTTCCTTTCTTTTTCTTTCTTTCTTCTCTTCCTTCCTTCCTTCCTCCCTCCCACTTTGCTCTCTCTCTGTTTTCTTTCTTTCTTCCTTCCTTCCTTCCATCCTTTCTTTCTTTTTCTTTCTCTCTTCCTTCCTCCCTCCCTCCCTCCCTCCCTCCCTTCCTTCCTTCCTTCCTTCCTTCCTTCCTTCCTTCCTTCCTTTCTTTCTTTCTTTCCTAACTAACTAACTAACTAACTAACTAACTTACTTACTTACTTACTTACTTACTTACTTACTTACTTACTTACTTACTTACTTACTTACTTACTTACTTACTTACTTACTTACCATTTCTTCATCTTCTGCAAGGACCAAGTCATAATCGCTAAGTGCCACACAAAAAATTATAGCTGTAACTCCCTCAAAGCAGTGAATCCACTTTTTTCGTTCTGATCTTTGGCCTCCAACATCAAACATCCTGTAAAAGAAGAGCCCAATCAGCTGATTTCAAAATGGGATTCTACCAAGACCAAAATTAATTAGAACAGCTATAATTGACGAGAAAGGCTATAAACCAAGTCTAGCGAGTGTGGAAGAAAAATTAAACCCATTTCACAATATACGTGTCATATCTCTACATTCATTAGAAGTTACGACCATTTTTCCTTTCAGTTTTGCAGATTAGATCCTTAATCATAAACTGTGGAATGCGCTCCTTTCCGGAGCTGCTATTTCCCAGGATCTTCCGTTTTTTATTTTCAGTTTTGTATTTTATTGCCCACCTTCTGTCCCAAACTAAGTTAAAAAGATCACAAACTGAATGAACGAACGAATGAATGAATGAATCAATCAATCAATCAATCAATCAATCAATCAATCAATGAAATAATAGTGAAGATCTTCATGATTTTATATTTAATACTAGCTGTACCCGGCCACGCCTTGCTGTGGCTCAGTCTGGTAAAAGCGTCTGTTGCTTTTACGTCCAACAGATGGCGCTGTTTTTTTAAAAAAACATGTTTTTACCTGTCACAGGTGTGACATCTATATAATAGTAGGTATATAAAAACACACGCGTATTCAAATGCAACGTTGTGTCAAAATTTCAAAGCAATCGGTGAAGAACTTTCGGAGATTTAAGATTTTGAACAAACGAACATTTACATTTTTATTTATATAGATATGGAAGCACTACACATGTTTGCATGCTGAGGACATACTGAAAAGCCCTTCATGCTCTTTGCTTATAAGATTGTTGTAGTTAGTCTCTTAAGTATGTACAAAACCCTGAAGTGCTCCTTCAGTTTGATTCTTCAGTTGAATCATTGCACTGAAACCAATTCCAAATCAAATTTCTGTGGAGTCTTCCATGCTATCTTCAAAAGCGAAGTCCACATTCTGGACAGAGAGGACTGCTGGTCTGAAAGAGGAGTCAAAGAGGCCATCTACATTAAGATTGGACAGACCTTTCTCAACAGAGGGGAGAGATACACCACCCACCTCCTGTTTACAACACAGTCCTTTCAGCAGTTCCAAGAAGGCTCCACACACGTTTGCACTACTCAGGTGACCTTGAGGCAACAGATAAGCCTCCAAGTGGCCACAACAACTCTCAAAAAGAGTACTAATGACCAGATGACTGCAAGGAATATACATCCTCCCATTCCCCACCATTCAGTCAGAACTGAAGAAGCTGCTTGGATGAGAAGCGAAACATCTTCAAGGAAAAAACGAAGAAAGTCCAGATGCCTTTTGAAAAAGCATTTTGGGGACAATGTCAGTGAATAAAAGCCCTTGCTGGAGAAAATATCCTGAGAGAGCCATCCTGGTGAAACAACTAGATGTTGGATGAAGGTGGCAGGTAATGAAGTGGCACCAAATTGTGTCATCTAGATGATTATACAGCTTGGGGTAGCGAAAAAGTCATTTTAGGTGTCATTACTTTTCCTTTCGTACGACGACTCAAATTTCAGACAAAGTGGGGCCAACATTTTTGACGCTATCTAATTACGTCCAGGTCAGTGGAAAATAATGCAGATATAAAATTACTGGGGCTTGTTACTAGAGATTGCTCTGAGGACTGCACTAGTTGTGTGTGATAGTTATTGAACAGGGTCAGAGAAGACCGACCATCTTAGGGGCAATGAGCAAATCCAGGATCTAGCAATTAGGGTAGGATACAGGGTCCTAAAAGAACTGAAGAAGCTTCTTGGATGAGAAGCGAAACGTCTTCAAGGAAAAAAAACTCAAGAAAGTCCAGTTGCCTCTTGAAAAAGCATCTTTGGAATTCCAAATCAAAGCATTAGCAAATCAGATCAGAGGGCTGCAAAACACTTTTTTTTGGATTCCATGGATATTTCCTTCTGTGATTGTTACATACAACATGGCCATTTCTTTTCCCAAAATTGGAAAACAGGCATGAGCGTTCAGAGAGGGGCAAGGGGTTGTATAATAACATCACACAAGCCTCACGCAAGAATATAAGAGTGGTATTTTCATGGTGGCTTTTCAGCATGTACATAACGTGGAATTCTCCCAGTGCTTGCCAGCTTAAAAAAAAAAATTATGAAATACTCTGTTCTGGACAGCAATATAGTCTCTTTCCACATTTCATGTGAAGAAAATATTTGAATAACACACTGGACACCCAGCATCATATTTTTAAGGCAATTACTTACTTAAAATGGAGATCTTTGAAAGTAAAATGAGTTTCCACTATTCCTGTCGTTTTCACTCTGGTCCTGAGGACATCTTGTTGTGTTGGGATATAACTGATGTGGGCTATTCTGTCCAAATCATTCAAATAGCTAGTAAGACAGAATAAATATTGAAGGCTTTTAAGTCTTAAATTGAACTGTACGTATAAAAAAGGTTAGCTTCACCAAAATATTCTTTTAATTGCTTTGAAGTTGAGGACAGCCTCCAAGAATTGTGGTCCTGGTTGTGTGGACAACAGATCCAGCTTCTGAAAGCTATTTAGAAGATGGCTACAAAGTCACGTATGAAGACTGAATTCATACATTATGCTAAGCAATAGCAATTATTAGCAAAAAGGCAAATGCCAAATGGACTTGATG